GGTTTCACAGGCTCACGGCTTGGAGGGGTTTCCCTCAGGACGAATCATACTGGAGTCTCACCCGTATCTGATTTGGATGCTATTTCAGTGAGGCTTTGGACTTAAGACTTTGGGGGCTGTTGAGATGGAATGAATATATTACATATGTGAGAAGAACATGAATTTTAGGGCGCCAGGGATGGACTGTTTAGAGACTGAATATTTGTGTCCCCCCACAAATTTGTATGTTGAGATCTTAACCTCCAATGGGATGGTAGCAGGAGGTGGGGCTTTTGCGAAGCGATTGGGTCAGGAGGGGGCGCTCTCATGAATGGAATGGGTGTCCTATAAAAGAGGCCCCGGCATCTCTGTCCTCTCCTCCACTACATGAGGACACAGCAAGCCGATGGCCATCTCTAAAACAGGAAGCAGACACCACATCCTCTCAGCACCTCGATCTAGGACTCCCAGCCTCTAGAACTGCGAGAAATAAAGACTTGTTGTTTAGAAGCCATCAGTCTGTGGCATTCCGTTTCAGCAGGCTGGATGGATGAAGACAATCCCCATTTTCAGATAAACAGATGTCACCTGGGGCCCAACAAGGTTAGATGACTTGCCAAGGTAGCATGACGAAGACGAGCAGCATCAGGATCTGAACACAGGTAACACCTGCGAATAGCAGCTGGTCCTGCCCCTGGCTACCTGTCACCGTCGACAGGGAAAGAGGGGTTCAGGCAAGCGAAGACCAGATGAGGAGAGGATGTGGAGGGCCAAGGGGTGAAGCCTGAGAAGAGATCGTGGAAGGGAGTGAGTCATTCCGACTGGGGGCCCCCAAGGAGGACCAGAGTTTGAACAGGGCCTCCGCAGAGGAGTCGGACTCCATCCATGGGGTGGGGGAGGGGCACCCAAGAGCCATTTGGCCACGTGGTTTTGTGGACGCGTCCCGCCGCCACATCCCAGCTGCAGCTGCTCCTCAGCCATAAGCTGACAACTCACACCCATAATTCATTCATAAACGTTTATTTCCATCTAAATCAGCAAATGAATACATCTATTGGTGGCATGCATGCGCCTCGCCTGCATTTCTCAGGCTGGCGCAGGGAGGCTGGCCGTGGAGTTTTGATGGCCCTGTTTGGGGGAATTAAGTGCCCCGAGCAGTTGCTTCATAGCCATTTCCAAGGTGGGACATCAACATCATTGCCTGTGGTCTACAGATAAGGTTGGCTCTGGAGCTCTTCTTCTTCCAGCTTGGAAGGAAGACTGGACCTCCCCAGCGGGTGTATGTATGGGGACGCTCACGTGGAGGATGACAATGATGACAGTCATAACAACAATCGTGTTAGCAGCTGACGGTGCACACTTTTTGTGTTCCGGGGGCTGTGCTAAGCATTGCAGAAAAATCCCTTCCTCTCTTAGGATTAGGTCCTGAAGTCAGCACTTGAGAGACAAAAACGTGTCTTGCCACCGTTCCCCGTGATGGTCCCTTAAATTGTCCATAAAGCTCAGGGCATGTGGCATTTAGGTTCCCAAACCGGGTGGTATGGATAAATATGAACAATGTGATTGTGTCTTAAGGTATTAGCAGCCACTGTCCCACACCCCTCTGTCCAGGACCCTGAAAGCAGGGGTGCGTAGTGACTCAACTTAAAAAATCTTGCTCGCTTCATCCTCTCTTCTCCGTGGCTCTCTCCCCTCTTTTTACCTTCCTGCACCTCTCTGCCAAGCATGGATATTTGAACCCTTGAGTTAAATGCTTACTTAAAGCAACTCCACTCCTCAGTTCATGCTCATAGCAAGCCTCCCTGCACCCCCCACCCCCACCCCCGGAAGCTATACTGTTACTGCTTCAGTGGAAGATACTACAGCTCAGGGAAGGTCAGGCCTGTGCACAGTTGCACAACCAGCAGACTGTGGAGCCAGGACCCAGACCCCAACCAAGACAGACTGCAGAGCCTGCAAGGCTGTCGCCCTGGAAGGCAGGCGAACTCTTCCTGCTGCATCCCTACCACAAGCCCCTCCTTGGGCCCCTTCAGCTGGTTGCACTTGAGTTTGACCAACTAATTGATCCAGCTATTACCAGTGTGGGCCTCACTTTTTAAAAATAAATGTTTCAACCAGTCCAGCCCTGCAATTTAATAGGCAGTATTGTATGCATATTAAACACCAAATGATTGTTAACATATTTATTGAAGCTTAACAGGCATCGGGCATATAAAAGATGACTCTCTTATATGGCTGTCAGACCTCAATAAACATGTTTAATAATTAATTGGCGTTAAACAAACATAATTGTGTGATTCTAAATTAGGTGTTCAGTGAAGCGTTCTGTGCATGGAAAACCACAGTAGTGTTTTATTACTTCAAGTTCAGGCTGTCAGTCTGGTTTTCACATATCAAGAGAGGCGCCCCCCCTTCCCCCGTTCCACACCATGTCAAAGGCCTCCTGTGTCCTCATGCTGAAAAAGGCACAAGCCCTCTCGTTCCTGGACCCTTTGATCTGAGAAACATTTCTCATTTGGTTAGCTGTTTGTCTTTCTGCATATCCACTTGGGGTTCTTAGCTGTTTCTCAGCTAAGAAATTGTGTGATGTAGAAGATGTTTTCACATATCAGCTTTCGGTCGAATTAACCAGTTCTGCCATAAACTCCATCTCCCCCCAATACAGGTGATTTGCACTATTCTCTATAGCTCTGCTCTCTGAATTCTCTGCAAACAGCGAATTAGCAAATACCAAACCATTGCTCCTAGGGGAGATGCAAGACTAGGTTCCTCACAGCCTCTGGTCACAATATTTTCTTTTAGTCAATTCACACAGAACTTTCTTTTATGTGTGTTTCTGTGTAAAGCCATCTCACTTAGCCTATACTGTTGATTCTTTAACATTGAACACAGGGCCTGTAGCACTGTAACTCACACCTGGCACGTATTCTCCGTCAGGCACCTCACAACCTTCGTGTGCCTAGGAACACGAGACATCCCTCCAGCACTGTGCATTTTAAACAGCAAAACACCAACAAAAAGCACAAAAGCATGAACAAACAGGGCACTGAATAGACCCTGAAAGGGACACTTGTTTGCAGTATGAGAACTAAAACACGAAGGTAGAGCGTTGCTTTGTTCTACCTCAGCTGGGAGTGCTCCTGTCGGATGAGTCTCATATTTGCAGCTTTGTACTTACCTGCACATGTCTGCCCATGATGCAAAAATGCCACGAATATTGGTTTTGAGATTACAGATAAATGTGCAGGTAGGTAAATTCACACATACGGGATCCTTGAGTAATGAGGATCAACTGTACTCAGATTCCATGAAGCACAGCCATCTGCATACCTGAGTATCCTACGTCCTCTGCCTGCCCTTTGTACAAGCTGCCCGAAGCATTGTCCGCTCAGATGCTTTAGCGCATAGTAGGTGCACAATAAATATTGGTCACGTTCAGTTGAGTGGTTTTCAAATAAAGACCCAAAATAGATATCGTTTGAAGATGTTCTTTGCTTTTCTTTAGGCACCACTGTTTTCCGTGGTCATTGCTAGTATTTATTGTCTCAAGCTAGTTAATATTCTACCTTGGCTTTTAACTTTCTATCTCTCACCTGCCCCTAAATCCTTTAGAGACTTGAAAATCTATTTTCTTTGCAGGCCATGAACCCCTTAAGATCCGTGTTGGAATGAGGAAGAGCATGCCCCAAGCAGGCATTGCTGGCTGGGTCGTAAAAATCTGTCTCTAGGATGTCCTCCATCTACGAAGCCCATCCACACACACCCTACAGGGAGGTGGGGAATCAGGCTTACAACCTTTTCAGAAGAAGCATCAGGAAGCAGGGCCATAACTTGAAAAAGTCAGTCTCATGGCCACGTTTGGCACTGAGCTAGGCACGTAAGGGCTGTTCTGGCCCCATCAGATCTTCCGGGGATCACAGTTTCCATCATGGCCCTACCTGAAGGTTTGGAGTTGCACATGGAGCAAGGCTCCAGAGTCTGGGGCAGCTCTTGGTTCTGCAGGGATCCTTTGGAAAATTATATTTTGAAGACTGGAATTTTATCCATAGGCATTTAAAAACCTATAGATAAAGTCTGTCATGAAAGTCGTGTGTGCTTATTTGAAAAGTTAGAAGTTAGAGCACAGAACAGAGAACATACATGGTCTCACCATCACCAAAACACACACATTTAAAAATTGCAGTGTATTGGGTCCTTTTTTCTTTTGTGCGTGGTTCTTCGTATAATTTCAATTTTACTACAAATGAAAGTCTTCTGCTTTTTGTTCCCCACTTAGCATGCTATCATAAGCATGTTCTGTGTTATTACACAGTTCATCACCCTTATTTCCAACAGCTGCAAACCAGTCCATTGATTGATTGCACTACACTTTGCTAGCCATCCCGCTCTCGTTAGACGTTTGTTCTCGTTCTCTAGCTCTTTCTGGAAATGAGAGTACAATCTACTTTTTCTTTTTTCCTCAAGCTAGTGCATGTCTGGGATTGTTGTTAGCCCAGATTGTTAGAGATGGGGTTACTGGATCTTTGGTGGGGACATTTTTAAGGCCCTTGATAACGTAGCCTCTTTGTTAAGATGTGGGAGCGCACGCCCATCTTACTGGATGCTTCTGAAAATTGCATTACCATTTTGTTATTTTTGCTGAGTGTAAAAGAGACCCAGCATTTTTTCTTCACTGTGGTAACACTACAAAGGACCTCCACCTTCAAATGCCCAGGCCGGCGTTCCCGTTAGATTTATACTATGTATGCATGCATATAGGGGTATATGCATGTGTGTACAAACTACAATATATATTGCATATATATTTTTTTAATTCATGATATTGACATGACGTTTCTTTGTTTTGTGCCTTTCCTTAGTATTTCTTGAAAAGTCTTACCTTCCAAAACTTTCTGCCTAATACACTCAGGTTTTTGTTTGGATCTATTCGCTTTAACACACACATTCTCTCTCTCTCTCTCTCTCTCTCTCTCTCTCTCTCTCTCTCCCCCTCTCCCTTTTCCTACTAATGGAAAATGCAGCTCTTGAGGATGACAATTGCCAAGCAGAGGCTCGGAGACGAAGAAATTGGCGTGCGGCACTTTGCAGCTCATGAGCGTGAAGACTTGGTTCAGCAGCTGGAGAGAGCTAAGGAACAGGTTATTGCTAACATCTGTTAAGAGTGGGGGATATGTTTGTACTGTTGGACTGTGCCCCCTGTTTCTCAGAGAGGGCGAGGTGCCTGGGATGCCAGTTGGAGGTGGAAGGAGGGTGTGAGTTGAATGCTTTTATGTTCTCCCTGCTCTGCTACTTCCCCAGCGGCCTCTTGTGGTTCTTGCTTCCAGCAGATCTGCCCTCCTAGTTTGGGGTACCACTGCTCTGAACACAAGAAACATCCACCTCCCCCTACTCAGGATAGACAGGAAAGGAAGAAGACATGACAAACTGGCCTTCATTTGCAAGTTTCCTGAAGTGCTGAGTGATGCTTTTTAGGCAAAATCTCAACGGGTACAGAGCCCTAGTTAGGGAACAGGGAAGAGAGCCTAAACTTCATTTTCCTTCTCTCGCTAATTGGTTTTGAAGAGCGGAACAAGATTCCTGGGTCTGGAGTAGCCGGAGAAGGTATGCACATGCAAGACCCTGGCTGCTATTGCTAGTGTCTGGATTTGCCCTCTCTGAGCCTCTTGCTTTGGGGCACGCTGCACTTGGGAAGGGATCGGTTCTGCTCCCAAGCTGCTGCCCCCGCCCAATCTTAGACATCACGAGTGTCTGGCAGGGACTTACTTCCTTCCCTGAAGCTTTTGCCCAGCGTGTGGTGCTTGTGGTTTCATAGCATACACGGGTGGGATGAATATGCTCTGTCAGAGTCGGTCAGCCAAGCAGAAGGCTCCATCTCTGGCCATAAAATGACGTCTGAAGAACATCTTAAGTAAGGACACTTCCTTGGTTTCAGATTGAGTCTCTGGAGCATGACCTGCAGGCCTCTGTGGATGAGCTTCAGGACGTTAAAGAAGAACGGTCTTCCTACCAGGACAAAGTGGAGAGGCTCAACCAGGAGCTAAACCATATCCTGGGTGGACACGAGAACCGCATCATTGACGTGGACGCCCTCTGTATGGAGAACAGGCAAGTGGCCAGGCCCGGACACGCACTCAGGCAGGATGCTGGCCGCGAGTTCTCTGCAGCCCGAGTTACATTTGCCTTGCATTAAAAGGAAAGTCCCACCGCCAAAATGGTGATAGTAACGTCATGTATTAGCTGTAAAAGTCAGAAAAGAAGCACCACACACCTGCATGTGTGCCTCACAGACCCCTTTCTCTCTCCCCTACCCTCCCCACTCCCTGGTTGGGCAAGAAGGATAGGGAGCCAGTGAAAGCTGCTTGGTATTGCTATCAAGGAGAGGGGAAAGAATAAGAAAATAAATTGAGAAATTCCCTTAGCTGTTTCTTTTCCCTGAGGCAAATTTCAGTGTGTGTGTGTGTGTGTGTGTGTGTGTGTCTAATTTAATGTTACGTCTGGTGTCGCCTCTCCCTGCCTGCCTTCCCAGTGGAATCATCTTAATGAGAATTATGTGAAAACTGTGTGGAGACCCCTTAGGGGATCTCTGCAGAAGGCTGTTCTAAAGTGGGGTTTCTGTGATTTGGGCATATTTGACCTTGATCGTCTCCATTTAAGAAGAGGTCACCAAGATGCACTTTTCTCCTCCTCTTTTGGTGGTGAGAAAGCATTGTATGTACCTGGTGACTCTGGAGGCGGGTTGTTTTCTTTTTTTCTTCTCCTACTTGCGTGTATGTTTTTTATTTTGCTCCCAAACACTTCCTAGTTGCATGTTTTCTTTCCTAGGTACCTTCAAGAGCGATTAAAGCAACTCCACGAAGAGGTCAACCTCTTGAAATCAAACATCGCCAAGTACAAGGTAGAGAATCGTGATGATGCTGGTAATGATTCACTATTGTACATCTAAATGCCATTCTATTTTAATTCCCTTTTATGTGCCAAAGACATTTGAGTGCTTGCCTGCTCTCCTGGATAGAGTAAGAGCTTTCACTGAGGTAACCAGGAGGAATTAAGCCCAAAACAACAAACACAACAAAAATAGCTTTTGCAAGAGCATCTTCGTTGCTGTCACCTGGACAGGGCACACACGGGGCCTGCCAGGATCTGGACGTGGCCACTTCACAGCCTTGGTCCACATAGAATCAGGTGTCCTATTGGCTTCTCTAGAAAATGTTCCGTCATCAGACGCTAATTGTCCATTAATTATCCATAAGAAAATGGTTTCCGAGCAACAAGAAGAAACCAAGATTGGGAAATCACAATGTGAGCGAGAATGGTCACATCACACTGAAAGGACAGAATGTTTAAATTCTCCCACTGTTGTTTGGACTCATTCCAGCCCCATTAGTTTGATAATATCTATTTCTGCAGATGTTCATTGTGAGCGTTATAATTAGAAGCATCTCCTGGGTTTCTCTGCTTTGAAAATAGATTGATTTCTCTTCCTGAGGGTAAAGTTTTATAGCAGTCTAGATGCTTGGGAGAACCTTCTCGTTTTCCTGGCTCTGGTGTTAGCTTTTCTTCTCCGAAGTCTCTATGCTGTTCTTCCTTTTCCATGCTGCGGGGGCCACACTTTATGCCAGTCTATATATACACATGGAGCCACAGAAGAATGCAGCTTTTAAAGTTGTATAATTAATACATACATTTAAAAAATGTGTGTATGCATTCATTTAACAGCCTTTACTTGGTTCTTCAACGTGCCAAGCACTGGCTACACAGTCATATCAATTGTAATGTGAGGGTCTGTGATAGGAATGGTACTTTAGTGGGCACCTGTGCACCTCCTAATCTTGTGTACATGGCAGACATCGTTCATCAGTCCTGGCTTTTTCCAGTCCAGCCACGGAAGCCTTCCGAAGACCAATAGTGATCTCTTGGCATCGGCAAATGAAAGGAAACCTGTTCTCCATCTCATGTCTATTCAGAAGGGGTTTCCATAACTAGTGACTTCACACATTTGATGGAGCTCTTGCTTTGAGATTTGATTTAATTTAATGAATACGCATTGAGTGCCTTTTATATATAGGAGAAGGTAATTGCTGTCATTCTGCTGGGCACCAACTTTAAAAAAAAAACAACAACAACTCTCTACCAGGTCCATAAATTTCATAACTCTTTGGCAGGGACGTGGAATTTTAAAAGTTGGGTCAGCATTTGGAATTTGCCAAGGGTTCCTGTGTGCCTGATGGGAGGGTGCGTCTACTCTAAGTAGGTATTTTTCTTTTTTTTTTTTTTTGGCTTTTTTGATAGAGATTTGTATTTTCTCCCAATGCTGCATTAGAATGCTCTCGAGAGACGGAAAAACTCGAAAGGCCAGAGTAAATCTAGCAGCAGTGCACTGACTGGAGTCCTGTCTGCAAAGCAAGGTAGGATTTGTTCTCTGGAGGGACTGCTTAGGACCACAGAATGCTGGAGCTCGGGCTCCGCATCTCCGTTTGTGGGTGGGGAGCCAAGGTGGTTCTTAGAACAGCCCTTCTCAAACCTTCATCTGTATCAGCATTGGCTGGAGGGCTTGTTTGAAAACACAGATTACTGCCCCCTACACACACAGTTTTTGATTTAGTAGGTCTGGGGGGGCCCCAGAGAATACGCATTTCTAAAAAGTTCCCAAATGTTGCTGATGCCTGTTCTGGGATCCTGCTTTGAGAACAGCCACATTAGATGTCCTTCTAATAACAGGACCCCCTTCGCATCTGGTCCCCTATCCTGTGCTCTTCCTTCAAGAGTGCTTTCCCTCCTCTGATCACCAGTTTAGCATCCCGGGGCCCATGTTCCAGCCTCGCCGAGCTTCTCCTTTTTCTGGCCTCTGTGACCAGAATAGAAAAGTCTCACAGCTGCTGAAATCATTTTATCGTGGAACATGTGCCTTTTTCAAAGAAGCTTTTATTGATTGCAATTCTGTTCCTCCTTCTTGTCGATTCTGATGAAAAATAATGATCTTCCAGGAACAGTCCAGGGGAATAAATAGCAGAGAGCTTGCTTCTGACACTTAATATTTGGGAATTCAGTTCTCAGCATAAGCCTCAGGTTGAACATGCTCACCTGGCCCACTTTCGGGTTGTCGGCCACGCAGACCAGCAACGAGCATGCGGGAGTCTTAATCAGAGCTGGAGTGGCTAGGGGAAAAAAAAAAAGTGCTGAATCTCCAGCCGGCCTAATAACCAAGGCACTTTTACAAGCAACTTCTGTTTTTCCACTCAACTAAGAAAAGGATACCCTAGAATTGTTTTTAAATAGAAAACCACAATACTCCACAGAAATGTGAAGTAGCCCATGTGAGTTTAGCTCTCGATACCCTTGACAGCCAAACATCTTTGAATGGCGAGACCCAGTCTTATCACTGATGTGGGGAATGCCAGCCACATTCAAAGGCCATGCCTAAGCCTGCAACGGCCTTCTGGATAACCCAGCCTTTCTGGATAACCCTCCGGCAACTTATTTTGAAAAACCTTGAACTCATCCCCTTTGAGCAACAAGAAATAATTACCAATGTATGAAAACATACTGCTTGAGGAAAGTTCTTCCTACATTAGTTATAAGAAAAAAAACAACATAGGAAGTAACATAAGTGTCCAGCAGAAATTAAATAAATTATTCTATATCTCTATATGGGCTCCCAAGCTGCCTTTACATTTTATGTTTTAGGAGATATTGATGATGAGGAATAGGGTTAAGCGAAAAAAGGAGAGCTTTTTCCCATTTCAGAAGAAAAATGTATGAATCTGTATATCTTTGTATAGGCATATAGAAAATGATGTTCAAAGATCTAGTGAGAGATTTAATTTTTTCTGTCTGATAGGAGTACAAGCGGTGTCTTTTTTGTGGTAACTTGTAGTTTCTAAAAACATGCAGACACAAAATATATTTTGTATTTTAAATAATGTCCCTGTGATCTTGCCACCTACCGAGCATACCACACTGTAGGAAACTCTGTCACAAAGCGAGGAGCTTGGGACCAGAGTCATTGCCATTTGCAAGGCTGTGTGACCTTCAGCTGATGTTTTTAATCCATCAGTGCCTTGCTTTCCTGTCCATGAAATGGGAATAAATAATACTCCCCAGGTGGGTTTTTTTTTTAATTTTGGGCCTCAAATGAGTTAGTATGAAAGTGTTTTGAAAGGGTAAAATAATGGACAAATGCAAAAGATTATTATCCCTTTAAAAAACTGGTGATAAACGTCCATGAGAACTTCCTCGTTTCTGCTCAACCCTCACATTGAATTTTATTTTGTTTTATTTTGACACCTGAAGTAGATTCTTCAATACAACATCATAGCATTTAGAAGCGGGGAGCCTATCCCAGCTTCATTATCCAGGAAGAACGGACATTGGTTTGCATTGCAGTGTTCCAGAAGGACTTAAGACTGAGCTATAAACTTTATATCCCACCTAGTTCAGGATCTGTTATCTGAAGATCACGGATGCAGTCTCCCAGCTACTCCACAGTCCATTTCTGATCTGAAATCTCTGGCAACGGCCCTGCTGGAGACAATCCACGAGAAAAACATGGTCATCCAGCATCAGAGGCAGACCAACAAGTAGGTAGCTGGACCCTTGGTGGGTGGTGGGTGGGAGAAATGTGGGATGCTGGCTGGTGGCAGCCAGGTGGGACTGTAGGCCTTTTGGGGAGGGGAGGGAGCCCTTAAGTCTGGAAGGACATTTCTTAAACTAGAATGGTGTGTCTGCATTATGACAGCATCTTAGCCATTTGCCGGAGTGGGGGAGGGGGAGAATACTACCAGGCATTACGTATTGGACACTTAGTCCGAGCCCCTCACTGAGGAATGCAGATGACATGGGCCGTTTTGACAGTACCATTGCTCGGGTAACTTACCCTACCTCTCCTGCGGGTCTCCTTCAGGGGCGGCACCTCCTCAGTGCCATCTTAACTGACAGCATGACAATGAGGGGTTCTGACCAGGAGGAACGCCAGGCAAGGCAGCTGGGCCTACAAGGGAGTGTCATGTCACTCTTCCACAGGAGCAAAAAAGGTGGTGGGACAGAACAATTAAAATAGAGGTCTTCCTTGGTTTTTATAAACATACCGACTAGGTGGGGCAAAGTCAAGTTAAAGTAGCCATCAGAGACACACGCAAAACTGGAGGTGTTCGGAGAATGGTGAATAAACAATAAGTTAAGGCAACAGACGTTGCAAACCGGGCTGGCTTTCAGGGCAAGCGACCGTGCGTGGAAGGGCCCTGCCCTTGGTCCCGAACACCACAGTCGCCATCTTCAGATTCTTGATCAGTTTTAAACAAGGAGGCCTGCATTTGCATTTTGCGGTGGGCCCCCCAAATTATGTAGCTGGTCCTGCTTATAAAACCTTCACGCAGCACCAGAATGAAGGTGTGGAAGTGAGCAGGCTCCAAAAAGCTGGGCTTCCAGCAAGGAGGGGAGTGATGAGGGAATCGGGGTCCTGGCGAGGGGGAGGGGCACAGGGAGCGAGGCAACTGGAAATGGTTGAGAGTATTGTAAAAACAAAATGGAGAAAAGAGAAGCCGGGAGTGAAGGGGGGACCGCGCAGGAGATTAAGATATATGGAAAAGAAGGCAGGGAGCGGTGGGAGGGAGTCTGGACAAACGCAGAAGGTGGCAAGGGTAATTTATTGACACAAGAAGTTTTTAAAATTCTTTTAAAAGAAATCTTAACCAAGGAATGAAACAGTCAGGTGCTAAAATGCAGATACTTCTCAGGGGAGGGAGAAGAAATGGAAATCTCCCCAGAATAGGTACGAGGTCTATTTTATCCAGCCGGTAGTGTTCCGCATGAGCCTTCTTTGTCCTCACTGACTCCCAGGAAAGCACTGCTGGGGCTCTTTCAAAACTTCTCAGGTCTTCTAAACCCTAGTCTGTTCTCAGCAGGAAACCTCAGCTGCTCTTTTACTGAGAAAATAGACGCTCCTCACCAGGAACCCTATGACTTACCCTCCCCTGGAACCAGTGCCTTCCACCCTCAGCCTCCTGGCTCTGGGAGACACACCGGCCCACCATCCTGTTGGTCCACACCATCTTCCCTCCTCTGGGCCTGGCTCCCCTGTGAGCAGAACTCTTGTCCCCACCTCGTCATCCAGAGCAGGACCCACATTTCCGGCTACGAGGCTGATGATTTCCCCCATATTCCTTCAGCTCTTCACATTCAAGGAATCTAGACTGGGCCACCCACTCCTTAGTACATTTTAAGACCCTTGAAAATGCTCCTGCCCTTTGACCCACATGGTCTGCATCTAGGAGTTTATCCTAAAGAAAAAAATCGGTATGATGTCCTCAGATTCATATATAAGGTGTTCACTATGGATTCATTTGTAAGAGGGGGAAAAAACAGAAACAACCCAAATGTTTTTATTTATATTTTAGCTTGTTTTATTTTATTTTGAGAAGGGGAGAATGCATGAGTGCAGAGGGAGAGGGAGAGAGTCTCAAGCAGACTCCGTGCTGAGCATAGAGCCTGATGCGGGCCTTGATCTCACAACCTGAGATCATGACCTCAGCCGAAATCAAGAGTCAGACCCTTAACCAACTAAGCCACCCAGGCACCCCCCCTGCAATGTTTTCAAGCTGGAGGCTGGTATAGTAAATCCATAAGATGGAATATTGTGCAGCCATAATTCAAGCATGACTTGAAGAATATTTAATGGGCTCTGCCCACCATCCTGATACTCAGGTCCAACAAACCTCCACATCATGCAGGTTGAAGCTGTCCCAAGGCCAGAACGTTTGTCCATTAGAATTGCTGTTCTGTCCCAGTACAGAGGACAGTGCTGGGCCCACAGTAAGTGCTTATGATTATTTAATGAATTGATGATGGAATCATTTTCTACTCCTTTTTCTTGTTCCCTTAATACTCTTTACAGTTTTCATGGATTCAATATATAGTTCAGGTCCTTGTCATGGGACTTCAGTGTACATCTTCTAGCTGCCGTCTCTGCTTTGTTCCCACCAGACTATCACCTCTTCCTTGGGAAGACCCTCCCGTCAGTCCTCCAACTGCAGACCCCCAGACCCTCCTCCGCCGCCAGCCCCCGCACTCTCTCAACCCCCGCCAGCTACAGTTCTGATCACATCACAAGCCTCCACTAAACAGCAGGACTTTTCTTTTTTTGTTTGTTGCAAGTTTTTATTTAAATTCTAGTTAGTTAACATATAGTGTAATACAGATTTCAGGAAAAAGCAGGACCATTAAAGCAGAGACCTGCTGCCGGCCGAACTCAGTAACCCCAGGCCCAGTAACCCCAGGCCGTCAGGCTGAGACTTGCCTCTCAGGACACATTGATTTACTAGCACGTTCCTACCATAACCCCACTGCAACCAGCACGCCCCCAGGCTCCATGGGCTCTCACCCTCGTTGAGAAACAGACATGTTTTGCCAGGTTTAATTTTGGTTTCTTTGTTTGTTTGTTTTTGTTTTTTCAAGTTTAATTTTGTTTTAATGCACCTTGTCCTTTGTAACTATTATTTAATAATTTTGTACCATCTCATGGTTCACATTTTTAAAGGTTAAACATCAATGTGTCTCTAAACTACTACCATCTCTCAGACACCCAATTCTCCTTCCTGGAAGGAACCATTATTTCTTATTTCTTATGTATCCCTTTCCAAGAAACATATAACGCATTTCCACAGACACATATAAATACTCATGTATACTTGTATAAATATAGTCTTTTCTCTCTTCCTTTCTTCCTTTCTTACAAATGGTAGCAAGTATTCACCAAAAAGAGGGTTTTTTTTTTGCTGTGCAGAGACTGCCCTACCTTGCTTTTCCCCCCCATAAGAATAGGTCTTAAAGATTGCTTCATATCAGTACATAAAGTACCTAATGTGCCATTTTTAAAACTTAGAAGGTCTTCAGTTTCATACTTTCAATAAATGTTTTATTTGGGGGCATGTGAAAAAAAACTATACAACAAATGGAGTGGGGGCTAGGAATAGAATCTGAATTCGGTCTGCTTACTGTGATCCCCTTGACTTAGCCTTTTCTAGCTAAAATAATACAGTAGTTTTGTGTTGGTGGAGCATGATTAAGTGAGAATAAAGGTATTCTGTTCTGTAAGCCTGTGCTCCCCCTACTGGCTTTCCGCCGCCTGACACCCCCCCTCCCCTTGAGAGGGCCCAATGGGAGCCATCTTGAAGAACTGATGAATCCGCATAGGACTTTATTTTTTGAGAGGATTTGCAAGTACTGGGCATTTTGCTTGAGGTACTCATTGCCAAAGAGTTGGCAGTTGTCTGACTATTGCTAAAGAAGGGATGACCTTCCTGTGACTTACCAACAGGTAGCAAAGCAGTAATAGAAGAGGCAGGTGTTGGGGCGCCTGGGTGGCTCAGTTGGTTGAGCAACTACCTTCGGCTCAGGTCATGATCCCGGAGTCCTGGGATCGAGCCTCACATTGGGCTCCCGGCTCGGCGGGGAGCCTGCTTCTCCCTCTGACCCTCTCTCCTCTCATGTTGTTTCTCTCTCGCTTGCTCTCTAGTAAATAAAGAAATAAAATCTTTGGAAAAAAAAAAAAAGAAGAAGAGACAGGTGTTGAAATCTTGTTTTACTGAACGCCCCATTTAGTTTTCCGGTCAACACTTTGCTGGTGGTAGGGTGCTGGTGCTGGTGGTAGGGGTGGGTACATGAAGAAATACTGGCCTGTCACTGCCCTTCCTGCCGTGCTAACACTGTTTACTGCTCTCCCCCTCCCTCCCCCCCAGCCAATGGTAAATAGCTTGGAAGTTCAAGATATTGGGAGCAGCATAAACTGTCATGGACCAGAGGAAAGAGTCAAAAGAAGGCCACCCGGGGTGGAGGTGGGGACAGGGTAGAGCCAGTCACATCTTGAGGACCAGGCTCTCCCCAAGGACCCTCACTCGGGGATTTCTGCTCCCGTGTTGTCTGGGGAGTAGGAGTGGACACACAGTGGTGGCCACCTCCCGACTCAGGTCTGTCTTTTCAGATCCCCTCTGACGTTGTTACTATCAGAAACTACTACTGAAAATCTATCTGGAGGCCTGACATCTTGAGGATTTTCCTAGACTGCTAGGTAGACATATGCTGAAATCCCTCTTAAAGCAAACTGTAGCTAAATAAAAACCTGATTGTAAAATCTGCCCCCTCCTACCAAAAAAAAAAAAAAAAATCCTCTCTCAAACCTGTTTATGCCTCAAGCTACCGCCCTAGCTGTCTCCTTCAATTCTCTGCTAAACTGCTTGAAGAGTCATCTGTATTCCCTGCTTATGGCTGCCCCTAGTCTGCTTCTCCCAACCCTGTCGCTTGGATTCTTGGGTTTCACCCCTTCCACTGTTCCTGAAACATCTCTCTCAAGGGTCAGGCATCCATGTAGGTGGACTTTTTCATCCAGTGTGACCACCTTCTAGAATAAGACCATTGACCCCACCATCTCACCTGGGTCTTCTCTCCCCTTGGCTTCCTGGCCCCACGTGGCCTGGCTTTCCTCTTCCCTGGCCAGCTGTTCCTCTCTAGTCCTTTCTTGCCTTAGACGGGTAATCAAGGGTCCTGTTCTTCTGACTTCTCACACTCTGCCAGTGAGCAGACTCACTCCCCAGCCTCCATGCCCATCTCTGCATTCCCAGACTTTCCTTCTCCCACGTGGCCAGCTGTCTCCATGGATATCCCGTGGGCACCTCAAATTCCTCACCTGCCTCGGTATTATTACTCCATTCGGTTGACTTCCCACATCCCCCCCTGGCTTGCTGGGGCCACCACCATCACTGACTGGTCTTTCTGCTTCTACTCATACTCATTCCCGTCCATTTTCCACTCCACATCAAGAATACTTTTCCTGAACGTCATCATGCTGCTTCTCTGCTTAAAACCTTCCAATATCTCACCGTTGCCAATGTATAAAAGTCTCACCAGTCTCAACAGGGCAATAAGGTCATTCATGATCTGGGTCCTTAAAAACCACTCTGGATTCATCTCCCATTTGTCTCACTTCCACTCTATGGTTCTGCTGAAGTACTTGTATACTTTCAGGCCTACGTTTTGGTTCTGGACCCTCCACTTAGCAGCTGTGTTGCCCTGGGCAAGTTAGTTGACCTCTCTGAATCTCTGTTCCCTCATCCACAAACTAAGCATATTAAAGGCTCCCTCATCAGTTGTTGCAAGGGGTAAAGGAGATACTATCTGGGCAGTGCTTAGAATAATACCTGCTAGAGAACAGGTGATTGAGAGATTTTATTCAAACCTGTGACAGGCTCTGTACCTACGTGTCTGTGTGTGCCTGTATGTCCACATCTGTCCTCCCACCAGACTTTTAGTCCCTCAAATACAGGGACACAGGCTGCTTCTCTTCATTATCCCCTACAGCCTCAATAATTGTGTGCTGAATTGGTCAAACTGAATTCAGCGGACCCTGTTCCTATGTTTACTGCCTTCCTCAATGCCTCTCTCCCTGGGCTGCACCACCCCACGTTCTGTGGACCACCTGCCATATTTGTTCAGCATGAAGCCCATCAGGAAGAGTCTTTTTGTCTTTTGAAGAATCTTGGGTCCCATCATACAGGTCAGCCCAGTTGCATCCACATTTCAATTGTGAACAGTTTTTAAAGAGTTCTTGCTCCAGACACAAGGATGCTTATTTTAAAGTGCCATTGTGAGGTGTTGGTTAAGAGCGTGCACTTTGGCAGCAAACGGAGTTGTAGGTTCAGATCCAGAGTCATCACCAGCTGAGTCCTGCTTGTGGTTCTGGTCAAGTTAACTAATTTCCATGCCTGTGTTTCCCAATGGGAGGAGTAGAGTGGGCTGGATGAGAGCACCGGGGGTCAGCAAAAGACACAGCTTGGAGATAAACTGTGTGCCCTTGGGCATGTTGCTTAACCTCTCTGTTCCTTGGGGTCCGCATTTGTAAAAGGATAATAATACAACATACACTGCAGGGTTTTTGTCAGGTCAAATGAGATCATGTAAACTCAGTAGGTGCTCAGCATGAGCTCTGACTCATAGCCAGGACTCAGGAAAGATTAGTTTCGCTGTTCATGTTAGCAGTAGTGTGGTTGCTGTTGTTCAGGATAATGTTATGGCTACTATCACTCCTAGCACAATTCCCAGTGGACCCATTTTATTACCTCCAGCTCTGTATCAGATTCTTGCATCAGCCCAAAAACAGCAGTCACTGCTGACAAACAGGCAGGGTCCCTCAAAGTATGGGACGCTAGCAAATTCACTGCAGTCCATTTCTGGGAGACAAGGCTCTGTTATCCGGGAACATCAGGGGGTAAAAAAAAACAAAACAAAACAAAAAACAACCAAATGTCTCTGTACCATGCCTTTGAACATTGCTCTGATGGCATCTTCAGCATACACAGAAGAGTTAAGCCTTATCTTTTGTTTCCAAGAGGCAGCCACACACAGATGATCTGATCTCGTTAAGAAACAGGCATCAACTTGAACTCTGCTGTGATTGCATCTCAAACCCATCAGCTGGTGAAAAGGGAGCTTGGATCAGAAGGTCTGAGCAAAATATTGAAAGCGAGATTACGAAGAATGGTGTTTATTGAAGGGTCAGGGACATGAAAGCAGAATAGACCCAACAAATAGGGTGGCAACTGAAAGTAATTGATAAAGACTATGCAGAATTTAAGACTTAAGGAAAAGAAGAAAAGCTCCAAGTACCTAGGTGAAGAAAACCACATGTAGTAATGTCAGAGTTTTCTGGGAGCTCAAAGGGAATATTAATTAAGATGCTGCGAGTCAATTCAGGTAAAATAAGGATGAATCCAAAGCCATATATATACGTGCAGATATATACATATTCATGCCTCTGTATGTATGTGGGTGTGTGCAGCTATCTCTGGAATATAAGGAGAGGTAGGAGAACAATTCTAGCATTCTGATTTCTCCTGCTGAAAGGAATTGAAACTTTGCTATTAAGGTGATTTCCGCATCATTTTAGCATGACAGCGCCAAGAAAATCCCCCCAAATAATATAAAGACTGGTTTTTCAATTTCCAGGCCAATGGAAAGTGATTCAAGTTTGAGATGACTATGAAATCATTTCCCAACTATGTTTAATTTTGTGTAGAGTGGAAGAGGGGAAATACATGCCCACGTTTATGTCTTCCCATGCATACAGACAAGGTTTGGTTCCCAAGTAAACATTACAATCTTTTCAGATACACGTTCCAGAAATTATGTCCCAGTGGGTCAGAGTGGTCACCTTGGAAAGCAATATAATTCTTCTAGTGATTCTGCAATTGCTGGAAGTTCTTTTGAAAGGCCTATTTCTTCATTCTGTCCATAGATAATTGCAAGCCTTGAAAGAAGGAAAGCATTTTCTTTAATCAAATATGTTTATTGAACACCTACCATCAACTGGGCATTCTGCTAGGTATCAGGGATATGGATATCAGTAAGACATAGGTTAGGTCAAAGAAGGCAGATCTTATTATTTTATTGACTCAAAGCAACTTTACCATGCATGTTCACCCATCTTATTGGTTAGACTTGGTGGTTTCCAGAACTCAGATACATCCTCAAAGAATCAGGTGCGATACTACTAAGGGCATTCAAAATGAATGATAATCTTTAGCAATGAGCAATTCCCAAATAGAAGTTGTGTAAGACGTTTGGGCAATGATGGAATAATTGTTTAGCTTCCCCTCCTTTTTTGGAGAGGACTCACTTAAATGGCAACATTTAATATTTTTTTTAATCATTCACTGTATATTTTCATATGTACGTTCAATAGAGTGTGTGTGTATAATATATATTATACATATATATTCTTTGCACATGCACACACAGTATGTTTTCTGCATATACTTTAAATCTCAAAACATTTTCTATCAGGGCACTCTAGGGGATGTCCCCGAGTAGCTTGCTCACAGCCCCAAGAGCTGATGAGATGCTCATTAATTTGTCTGTTGTCATTTTCTCCCATTTTCCAGAATCCTAGGGAATCGGGTGGCTGAACTGGAGAAAAAATTAAGAACTCTGGAAGTTTCTGGTTTGTGGAGTCTTCCAGGTAAGCAGAACTTCATGAAAGTTATTTTCCTTTTTTAAAAAAGGCAGCCCTCACCTATTTTGCAAAGATTTTACTTTCTAAATATCCTTTTATTTGAAGATCATTGTTGAAAAATCTACAAGTGCTTTAAACATAGAAGCCATCAATTTTGAGGAAATCAGAGAAACTCCTATAAATATGCACGTTCCCATCTGTGGAACTATGAAGTTTTGCTAGCCTAAGCTCAGAAATTGTCATTTTATGTGTCTGTGTATGCTTTATTTTTCACCTTTGTGAATATAGTAAATTGTTTCATTGTTTTTTACCCCTAGGTATCTTATAAAGTTTTGTTCCTTTTAATTATCATCCTTAAAAATAAATATAAGAATGTACAAAGATTTGTTCAATTTACTCCTCAATCCTAAAAATTAATATAAGAACTGACAAAAATTTGTTCTATTTAATTATCATTCCTAAAAAAAGAATGATACCTAAAAATAAATATACTGACAAAAATTTGTTCTATTTAATTATCGTTCCCAAAAACGAATATAAAAATGAGTATAAGAACCTTCTTCTCCTCTCTTCCCCTGTCCCATTTTTTTTTAAAGACTTTATTTATTTATTTGACAGAGAGAGAGACAGCGAGAGAGGGAACACAAGCAGGGAGAGTGGGAGAGGGAGAAGCAGGCTTCCCGCGGAGCAGGGAGCCTGTCGCGGGGCTCGATCCCAGGACCCTGGGATCATGACCCGAGCCGAAGGCAGATGCTAAATGACTGAGCCACCCAGGCGCCCCTCCCTGTCCCATTTTATGCAGCTTGAAAATCAAAATTTCCTTTGGAGATTTTTTTTTCCCCCACAATTGTACACGGTGTGAGGAAAACTCTGATGTTTCACTTTAATTAGCTATATTTATCCTGTTTGTCTTGGTAAAATACCCGCTTCGTGAGACCCCCATCAGCTATTCCCCTTTTCTTCACACTCTCCAGAAACTTGTATTTATCATTTTCCACCCCCAGCTCTTTCCCTGGGAGCAACATTTACATATATTTTTAGTTACTTAACCTTTCTGCACAAACCAGCCTCCTCTACCCTTGAATCGTATCAGTTCCTGCCCTGTAATGTTCGAGAAATGAAAATTGCCACAGGGACATGGACAACAGCACGTTTTCTTAATGTAATCTGAATAGCTGCCTTAGGTTGCCTACAAGTGCATTTCATAAATTGGAAGTTTTAGCAGAGATTCCTTGAACTTGATGTCAAAAGACCTAACAGAACTAATTAGTGGCAAGTGCCATTCTGGGGATTTGAATGATCCATTTTGCACAGGAACCTTTTGATGCAGTTAAAACCTTATCTTCTTTGAAGGGCTTTCTTTTATTGCATTGAATTTCAACGCAGTCAGGCAAATTTATCATTTATTTGTGCAGTCAGATTGCTATTTCTGTGCATAGACTGGAGTTTTGATGTTTGGTTTTTTTTTTTCCTCCAAATGACTTAGTGAAATTTCACGATGTTTTAGTTCTACAATTTACGTAAAAAAGATGGAAGTTGAATAAGGGACACTGAGAATTTTCTCTGGTGTTGTTTGGTCTGGGCTGGAATGGCTATTATGCATTAACAATTCTTTCTTTCCTCCTTATTGCTGCCTGAAGGCCTGAGCTACAATGTTTCAGTAGGATTCGGGAGTATGTTCTATTTAAAATATCTGTGTTTGTGGCTAATATCAGCAGTGCATTAATATCATCCCTGCATGTAAATAAATAGAAATGCATTCTCTATGTATCATTGCACTTTTCTGATTAGAACAGTCCTTTGAAATAGAGAATTCAATTAGTACCAAGCAAATATTAAATGGTAAAATGAGCTTTGAGGGACCCGGCTAGATGGATCTTATGCCATGGCCATGTTTGTTCTAGTATCTGGCCTCCACAAAGACACAGAGTGGGAGGACAGGGAAAACACTGGGGACTCCCCAGATCTGATACGGTTGTTGTAAAGGAAAGAGGATTGCTTTGCTGCAGTTGTGAAGGATGTCACAACGAGGCATCGCCATGTGATCATTTTTAAACCGTGGTGAGAAATAGTAAGGGAAGGGCCTCTTGCAGCATCAGTTCAATCAGCTCCTTCTATCTGCTCATTGTTTTATGGTCCCCATTTAACCTACTGAATAGTGGAGCGAGGGGCAGTATGTTCTCTTCCTGCTTCCTCCTTCCCTCCCTCCCCTTCCTCTACCTCCACGTCCTTCTCATCCTTTCTTCTTCTCCACCTCTTCCTCTTTCTCTTCCACTTTTTTCCTCTCCCTCTTCCTCTCCCCAGGTAGAAGCCATGTCAGTGTTTTGGCCCCCTGGCGGGGACTGAGTCCCAATAGTCAGAGAGTTGCTAGCTCTCTCTTATTTACTAGCATCTGAAAGGATCAGTGTCTTCTTCAGGAAATCAGTCCATCAGTGTGTTCATACCTTTTTGAGCATCAACTTTGTGAATTCAGTTCTCTATCAGGCATTCTAGTCGTGCCCCCTCCAAGAATCTGTAGTCCCATTAGGGAAGAAGATGCATACACATCTAGCAGTGAGGAAAAAAGCACAAGATGATATATAATTAAGTGCCGAGTGATAAAGGTGTTGGGGTGTAAGTGACAAACGTGAAGAGTCATCAAATGTCAGACCTGGAAGGAGAATTGAGAGCAAAGAGTTCAAGGATGGCGAATATTTGGTGTATATTACAAAACACCCATTCCCATGCCAGTGGCAGACATTACTAATCAATCACATGGCTCTTGCATGCTGTCCTCACATAGGCCCTCGGAACAGGTATCCACACTGGCTTTCCAGGAAGCCCCCTCCTGGTTAGACTTGACATGTGAGAGAAAACATTCCCCCTTTCCTGATCTAGTCTAATCCCCTCATTTCAGATGGAAAAAACAAAGGTTTAGGAAATGAGAGGGTACCGAAGGGACACAGAGGCTGGTATTAGAACTCAGGTGTTTCCACCCGTGCTGGGGAACTGTAGTTCAGAGAAGAGAGGAATTGAGGGGAAGGGGCAGTGTTTATATCAGCTGGGGACTGGAGAAGAAGGATTCAGAAGCCAGAACAGTCTCCTCTGAGACTCCGAAGGGCAGTGGTGAATTCTCCCTTACTCCGAGACAGAACTGCTGTTGGACTTTGAGCATGCGATGAGTATTCTTTGAGTCTTTTCTCCCTCCCTCCTCACTCTCTCAGCCAACAAATATGTAGTTCTCCATGTTATTCAACAGAGTTGGGGAAAATTTGTGATCTTGCTGGAAAGTAGGCAAGTCTGACAAATGCCACAGTCCACGTGGAGAAATCATCTGGATAGCAGAGCATATTCCAAAGTGTTTCATCGGTTCCCAAGAGGTGGGAAGGCATGGGGCTCCTGCAAAAAAGTTGGGGGGGGGTGCAACTGACCTGGTCCCCTGGGAGGGAATGACACCCCCCCACCACCACCAGCCTCAGTCCCCCAGCCCTTTGCTGGCCTCTGCAGGGAGAGTGGTGCCTGGGGGCTCCGAGGGGAGGTTTCCTGGATGTGCTTCTGCTCTAAAAAGAAATGTTGAAAGCCAGAAGAAAAACCTGGCAAGCATAGAGTCGGGCTGAGTTTTTCATTTTAATTCTCTCTTCTCCACTCGAAGCATCAGCCTGAGGAAGAAAATGTGCATTTTGAAAGTACTTGGTGCATTTGGGAGAAGGGGAGGAGGCATACCGTGTCCCAGGGAATCGGGAAGGTTTCCAGACACTCACATGCGTGGCAAGCAGAGGGGCCTGTGTGGCCTTCCACACCAGCTGCCACTTGACTCTTTGTGGGTCACCTTGCCCCACCCCTCTTCCTGCAGGGCAGGGCACCAGAATGAAACAATGAGACAGCCGATTATCAGATTAGAGCTCACATTCATCAGCGTAGATGGAATCCAGACTTAGAAACAATAGGACAGGCTTCCAAGGAGGTCTTTGAATCCTTCAACAAACACTTTGCAAGAATGACCAAATCTTGCCATTTTACCTTCAGATTAGGGCATGATCTCTCCAGGTAGGAATTTCAGAAAGTGTTCAGCCTCTCTCCAACCTCCACCTTGATTGGCCATGGATGAGTCGTGGCTTTGGTTTCCTTCACTAATGCTTGTTGCTCAGACTCTGGGAGAGGTTTCGCGGGGCTGGCTCCAGTGTTTTTGCGGAGCTACTATGGAATGGATGATGCTCTGTGGCTGGAGAAGACTAGGGACACCCTGCACCCTAGAGAATCCCTTGTGACAGGAGGGGCTGAGGGCTTCCCTCAGGCCACCTTAGTCCCTTGGTTGAGGCCAGCTCCCTGCTGTGCCCGTAATTGATTCTTCAGCCACCAGGGCACAGGGGACTTGGAAGGCTGGTTGGGACACAAAGGGGCAGAGTGTGCCTCTTCCTGCAAGAACAGCCGGTCTACCTGTAGAGAAAGATGGCTCAAGAAATGCAGTCTCTATTGACTTGAGGACAGTAGCTGTTGTCTTGATTGAGAGAAACAAAAGTCCACGCTGAGGTGTGTGCTCTAGGTTCAAAGAAACCATTAATCCCTCGCAGTGTTTCCAGATTGTATCTTTACAGTACAAAGGGAAACCCGATTGTGTTTCTTTCTTTCTGAGAGCCTCTTAACAATATCCCAACCTGTAGATCTACAGTTCTCTTTGGGACACTTCTCCAGACTGTGTCCCTGAAGATTTGGATTTTTTTTCCATGTGAGACAATAGCCGTGCTGGTGGAGAGCTTTTGGATCGGCTCCTATCAGATTTCTCTTCTTCTGGGATGACCCTCAGCTGAACCCAGAGTGCTGATTGCTGCTAACAACATATTCCATTTGCCGGAGGCAGCAGCAAGCACCTGTGCCCACCACGACATCAGCAGTCCCAAGAATCCATCACCCGTGTATTCAGATACTTACTGGCTCTTTATTAAGCACCTACCATATGCCAAACTCTCTCCTACAGTCTTGGAAATGAAGCTCCCTAATGGGAAGACAGTATTGGGAACAAACTGAGGGCTCAGAGGTACAGCCCCAAGGTTCACCTGGTTCTCTGAAGGCGGGAACATCTTTACTGAAATACCATTCTGTGTCCACTGAACCTGAAACCGAGTAAAATCACAGAGCTTTGGGGCCCCTAATTTGAGCCCCAGAGAGATTAGGGGCTTGGCTTTAGAGTAGGTCTTGCTCAAAGTTAGACGGCTAAGGCTGGAGCATAGGCTTGGCCCACAGCCCTGGGGTTTTCATTTTGGGCACTGCACTTCCCACCGAGGGAATCCCAAGGCCTCGTGGACAGAAGTTTGGGGTCAAATCTTGCCTGTTGTGCTCTCCTGACCACTGGGCAGCATTCCCTTTATGTCCCCGTGTTCTGTGCCTGTGTGTCTGTGGTCACGATGCTCACGTTTCAGAGCCACACTTCCTGTTCCTGACTTGCCATGGGCTCCACAATAGAGTGGTGATGGTCTTCTTTCCCTCAACCTCTCCATCCACTGGGGGAGTTCATACAAATAGATACAAGGATTTGGCTGGTAGGGGACTATATGTTCTAAGTGAAAGTTTAGCGGTGACAATTTGGGGGATCTGAGACTACCCTCCTTATGACAGAGTCATTACTCAGTCTAAATGACCACATTGAATTAAGTCAAAGGTAGCATATGGCAGTGCTGTCTACACCGTAAGATAATAATTTCAGTATATGACATTTATTGAGCGCTAGTGAAATGCTTAAGGGCTTTACGTGAATCAGTTCATTTCATCACCACCGCCCAATGAGGTAGGTGCTGTTCTTCTTCCTCATTTTACAGATGAGGGCTCTGAGGCTGAGTGACTTGCCTGAGGTCAGCCAGCTAGCAAGGGACGGAGTCCAGAACACAAACCCTGTTGTGTGGCTCCAAAGCCGGCACTCCTCAGCCCTCTGCTGTGGTTATGCCTGTTCTCTTCTCACCCAGATCAAAGCCATTCGGTTTTTGGCCAACATACCAGGCTGCTCCTTCATGGTGGCATTTGTGGGCGGCCATGTCCTGAGCAGACTCACAGACTGGCCCTGGACCTCACTGCCTGGTCCTCACACTACAGAAAGGGCCGGCTGGCCATTGCCCTTCCGCAGCATTACCTATGATTAAAGAAAGTGCCTCATTCACCTAAACAGCCAGTCCATCACGTGGGGCGAACATAACCACAACTCCGCTGGTGACATAACATGTCCCCTTTTCCATGACAGGGGGCAAGGACACCATACTGTTCAGTGACCCTGCTCTTCCCACCATACAGAGATCAAGATCCCCACTGCTGAAGTTCATCGAGCAGCCCACTGAGAACAAAGCAAATTCCGAGGACGGTAAGCACATGATTTCTTGATTTCTCTGTCTTCTCTGTCTCTCTGGCATCCAGTGGGGGAAAAATATTTCTCTGTCTCTGCCTGACCTGTGCCTGGCACGGAGGCAGGGCTCAGTGGACTTCAGCTCCTTCCTGTAGCTTCTGGGTCACTGTGGGGTCATCCCTTGCATTTCCTCTTGTTGCTCATATGGGTTTGTGTTGTTTGGGGCTTCCAGCAGAAGAGTGCAGGCCTCTGTGCTCAGCACAGTGACATAGAGGTTAAGAGAAAGGGCTCAGGAGTTGAACAGCTCAGGCTCATAGTCCACCCCCACATTGTGTTGGCTCTGAGATTTTGGACTAGTAACTTCTGCATGTCTCCTTACCTATAAACTGGCAAGATGATGGTGCCAACTTTGGGGAGATCTCAACACATTGCCGGGGACAGGGGAAGTGGTCTGGGAGTTAGTTGAAAGGAGAATAAAAGCTTCTCCTCTACCAGGCACACTTTCTGGAGGCAGAGTGTTTTGAAGGAGATCACAGGCCCATTTAGGTGCCAGAGGAGCCCGCAAGTGTGAGAGGCATCTGTCTTCCCATGTGACAGTCTTGTTTCCCCAGCTAAACTATGCCTCACCTTTCTAAGTTTTGTTTGTCTTCTTTTTCTACCCCCCAGTGTGATTGCCAGCTTCCAGTATGGCCCCAAATGATCCCCACTTCCTGGTATTCATGTATATTCCTTGTATATTCCTCTCCACATTGTATCAGGGTTCATCTGTGTGACTAATAGAATACAGCACAAGTGATAGTATGTGACTTCCTAGGCTAGGTCAGAAAAGATATATGGGATCTCCCTTGCTCTCTCTGTCTTGGGTCATTCTCTCTGGAGGAAGCCAGCTGCCATGTCTTGAGGATACCCAAGCAGTCCCACATGCTGTTCATGTGGTCTGGAACTGAGGCCTTCTAGTCACCAGCCATTTGGGTGTGCCATCTTGGAAGCAGATTCTCCAGCCCCGGTCAAGCCTTCAGATGACAGCTGCCCTAGTTAACATTTTGATGACAATTTCATGAGTGACCACTAGTGAGAACCACCCAGATAAACTTCTCCCAGGCTCCTGAGTCTCCAGCTGCTAAGTTTTGAGGTAACTTGCGGCCCAGCAGTGGGTAACTAATATGCCCAGCAGGCAGGTGCCAAGGTTCTTTGCTTGATTTCTGTATTTTCTCTCCATCCTCCCTTGCTCTGAGTCACGCTTGCAACCATCACCTCTCTGAAAATATTCTCAAAATATTTTTCCCCCACTGGATGCCATCTGCAGAGCTACAGTCCCTTATTTCCCAAAGTGCAAACTTTACCACCTAAATATTTTGTGGACTTCTCAAGTATGACATCACCAATTCTCCATGCTTCTTCCCTTTTTTTGTCACTCTCTCAGCTACCCAGCTACCTTCAGTCATCATCGACCACTGTCAACTTTCCTTCCCCATCCATATCTGCTCTGTGGCCACTCTTTCTTCAGAGTTTCTCACACCTCCATTCCTACCCCCTCTGGCTTTAGCTCAACCCTCTTTACTTCCTTGGCACGGCTTGGTGCCGTGTTTCTTGTCTTCTAGACTCTCCCTACTTCATTCCCATCTTCCCCCTGCTGCTGCAGAATAAAGCTTCTGGAGCACTACTTTCCAACATGTGTGTACCCTGCTCAGAAATCTCTAGTGGCTCCCAACTGTCTCCCACTTAAAATCGCAACCCTGCAACCTGGCCTACCCTCTTTCTAACCTGATGATTATCTGACGTAACAACTTTGCTTGTATTAAATTGTACTAACTAGTCAAATCTGTTGCTACCATTGTGTAACAAACCACCCCAAAACTTAGAACTAAAAGCAACTACTATGCATTATTTATCATGAGTCTTGGGATCTGACGAGCAGTTCTGCTGATCTGAGCTGGCCTCAGCAAGGCTCACTCATGCATCTGTACAGCTATGTTTTGACGCTTGTCTCAATCCCTCACAGTAAGTAATGGTAAGAATAGGACAGATCTGGGATTTCAATAGAGGGGATCCCCAAGCATATACAGGGAGAATTCTTAGAGAGAGCGCCTGACTCAGGTAGGTTTCACACTGGCCAGAAGGCAAGCCTGGGTCTTTCCAGCCAGCAGCATGTGGCTCTTTGCAAGCCTGGCCTGTAACACACCATGGCCCACCACGCAGTCTGGAACATGCCTTGGCCAGTGGGCATCCCGTGCCAGCATCCAGTGTCCACGTGGAGACCCAAGGCCTCTGTCTGCTCTGAGCTTGTTTAGCCCCTGGGTGGGCCCAGGGCCCCCTGAGCTGAAATGGAACATGAGCCTGGCTTGATTTTCACAAGGGTAGCATAAGTAATGGCCTGATTCGAAATGATAGCTTCCAGAGTTCCATCATTAGCTCTCATTGTTCCAACTCTGTCCTTCGCCAGTGCGGGTGGGAACAAGGAAGCATTTATGTAGTGGCTGGCAGCGGCTGGGATGGTCTCATCACCGCCGCATCTCTGATTAATTCCAACTGAAAGAAGCTCACGCTTGGGAGGACAAAGCCCGTCAGAGATCAGTTAACAAAAGAAGACGAATGTCCCCTTTGGGCCAGTGTGGGAGAGTGACACATTTTTAGGAGACTAACACTCCTTCTACAAAGAGCTACTCTTTCTTCATCTTTTCGAGAAAATATTTCTTCTTTCCGTACTATTTGTGTCATAATGCATTTGTATCAGTTGATTGCCTCATCATTATTGATATGTGTTTTGTTATTAATACACATTAATGGTACTAATTCTGTTTTGTAAAGCAGCACAGAATAATTACTATTATTTTCAATAATATTTTCCCATGCTGAGCTCAAAAATCCTTCTTTTATGGAAATGGCAATGCTCTGTGTCTGTTCTCAAAGGAAAAGGAAAACTCTCGCAGCTGAAGAGTTAACATTCCAGAATCACAGAGGTAAAGGAAGAGTTTTGTTCCCCCAGCAAGTAGCAGATGCCCTAGGTCTACAGATCAACAGTTGTGACATTTTCAATAACTTTTCTTTGTCTCCTGATAAGCACTGGAGTATACTTTTTAGATATCTTTTGGATAACAAAAGGGAGGAGAGGACTGATAAATCTTGCTGTTGACCCGTAATCTAATCCCAGGTGGAGCCTGGTCCCTATATCTTTATGGTCCCGAGGCTCTGAAAATCCAGACTTTCTCAGAAAAAAAAATACATCCCTGGTAGGACCAAACAATAGAACTACAGCCTTGCCCATCCCCCGCTTGCTGCTATGTTTTGACCTCTAAGGATGGCAGCAGTGTTCTCCCCTCCCCCTGTGCCCCAAAAAAGGTTGCAAAGTTCTCCCTGGTAATCTCAGAGGTTTGCCATTTTGAAAAAGATTCATGCGTTTGGAATGAGCAGAATGTCATCTGAGGAAATGGCACAAGGCAAAGTACCAGCGACCAAAAGGCCCCAGTATAATTTAGACCACCCTCACTTAGATGTAAATTAAGGTAGAGAAGATTAACCTGACCCACAGTAAAAATACCACAAATGGTTTAGGGGTTAGGTTGTTACAGGTAAGGTTAATTAATTTTTCAGGGGCACCAGAATATACTATGAAGTGTCCTGGAAGAAGTAATTTCATAAGAGTAATTTCCAGAAGGAGTTTATTCATCTCACGTTGGTGAAAAATTTAACTGCAGAAAAGACCATAATTTACTCCTTTTGAATAAAGCTTCTTGCCCTGTGCTGGAAACTTGCTCAACTTGTACCACTACAATAAATTTGTTAGTATGAAAATGTTGTTATTGCTGTCCTGAGCTACCTCAGATGTAGCTAAATGTTTGTGTGAGTTAGAAGTCTTTTTTTCCGGAAGTGCCCTTTTAAGAACTTTTAGGGTAGCAACCTGAATACAACTTAGAACGAATACCATAAATTCAAGGATTGCTTTCGTTTTTTGATGCATGGCATTTACATATATGTACTAATATACTCATTTGTTCCTGTATTCATATGTATGTCCATAGATCCAAGCATCTGATAAGCTATTTATTGAGTCCCCCCTGTAGAACATGGGCAAGGTTTATCGGGTAAGATTTTATACTTCAGGTGACTTTTATAAGCTACCTATACATAAGTAACAACTTAAGGGTAAAAAAGTAAAAAGTACAAAGTTCCCTTGGGGGTCTAGACACAGCCTTGTGGAGATGAGGGCACTGTGGAGATTACTTTTTGTCCGGATTTCATCAAACAGGCTTTGTAGTGGAGATGGAGGTCGAGCTGACTGTCGAAGTTGGCTGTCTGGATACATAGAGGAACCATGGCCGTGGCAGAATCATCCACCTAAGCAAAAGCTCAGAGGGCAGGACTCGGATGCCATGAAGGGTTAGGTGTGGCTGGGGTGTGGGGATACGAGGGCAGCAGTTGGGATGTCAGGTGGAAAGGTAGGTGGAGGTTGAGTCGTCGAAGGCCTCGAATGTCAGGCCAAGAGCTTAGGTTATGTCCCTGAGACAGTAGCAGCCGTAGAAGGGTGGATAAGGGTGGAAAGGCGTAGTCAGATTGGTGTTAAAGCTCTCAGTGCTTTCGACACTGTCATGTGCGCCCAAATCGCCTGGAATCTTGTTAAAACGCAGGCTCTGAACCAGTAGGTGTGGGGCAAGAACTGAGATCCTACACATCCAACAAGCTCCCAGGCGATGGTGCCACCGCTGTCCACAGACCCCACCTTGAGTAGCAAAACTCGAGGCAGGGTCCCTCTCCAAGCCATCTGGATCAGAGCAGGAAGAGGCTAGGAGCAAAGAAACCTGTTGGGTATGAACGTTACATTATCCAGGCCTAACCGATCTGAATAGTTATTTTCTCAAAAATCAAGGCTTGCATCATTCCCTCATTTACATATTCATGAATTTCACTGTAAGGACAAGTCATGGCCTCATTTTCAGGTACAGTACTTCCCGAGGTCTGTGAGTTCTTAGGACAGTAATACATAGCTGTCCGTAACTATATACAGGCTTTAGAAAGTATAA